GGATTATGGCCCCCATGTTAAAAGACTTTGTTTCCCCTGCAGAAAAGACTTATTCATGCTTTTCTGCCCAGTGTTTGGTAGATTCAATCTACAGAAACAACCGCACAAATGACTGGACCACCTGGGAGCTGGAGTGTGCCGGCAATTAGCCTCCCATAAGCTGCGGTTAACCGCAGCTTAATTGACAATTACTGGGTGTCCGCCATTCGTATACCGAAAACGAGGTCATGGCCATTTTAAACATGCGAACGCACAGCGGAGTTCAACGACTAACTCATGGAACTAAAAATGGACACAGTTTGGCGCGAACGCTGCCGAAGCCGCCGACCTCCCTTCTTGTTCGGTGGGAGTGCACGAAGGGCCCGGTGTTCGGGAGTTTTACCTGACTGTTATACCCCAGATAGGAATCCCATGGAGCCCATTCATATGAGAACTGACTTTGTAATTCATATGAGAACTGACTTTGTAAAGACTTTGGCTCCATGGCGATTAAACTGTAATCATGTGGTCTGAGCGCCATTTGCTTAATAATGTGCGCTCAGACCTGAGCTATCTGGGGATAGGTTAAATGTATGGTTTTAATGTTATGTGTCTTGCATGGTATATTTTAATAGTAATTCTTGTGTTAGTATCCCCACGTGCACAATGGTGATTTGCCTTTGTCCTGGGAGATAATTGAATTACTTCTCAATTATCTCCAGGGCAGAGTGGAGGAAGCCAGGATGCATTGTGGGAATATAATGTGACTGTGTGTCCTATTTGTCTACTTGTCTGTCTTTTGTCACAGTCTCCCATTTGGTCCCCTAGGAGAGTGTCCACCAGGTGGGAGACCTGCATAAATACTGGGCAGGTAGCCCTCAGTAAACAGACCACTGCTTGACCCTCAACACGGAGCCTTGTCTCGTCTTTGGGGGGATTTACAGAATGCTGATAGAGACTGATTGCTAGGAGTGTAAGCCGCTTGGATGCTTTTCCTATTCGTCTGCTAGCAGTGATTCGTATGGTTCCAGTTCGTGTGTTTGGAGTGCTATATTGTATGCCGTTTGGGAGTTTGGAGCATTCACTTATTGGCGGTTTGTGAGTTTGGTGTTCTACAGTAGCTGTGCCTGCATCTCGGAAAGGGGACGATCGCCTAAACGTTTTTTACCCCTTGTGTGCAAAACGGTCCGTTACAGTGAGATATACACCATATATGTAGGATAGTCGGAATGGTGAGGGTAGATTAGAGACTAGTTTCCTATAGAAGGATAGAGGAATTAGAAGAAGGAACAGTATAGAGATACCAGAAGACCGAAAGGGTGGGTATGGGTGGGAAAATACTTGCCTCCTGTCTTTATTAAAATTAAGATTATTAGTACACTAAAGCTAGCATAATCTTCAATATTATTACATGACAGGAGGCTTCGTATTTTGCATTTTTAATGCTGATTTAACAAAGAAAACGCCGCGCAGGAGTTCGGTCTAAAGTAGAAGGTTCGAAAAGTGGATTCACGTGACCAGTCAGCCATGAGTAGAACATCTGATAGTGATGCTCCGGCTGCGTAGGCCGAAGAAGCAGCCGTGCCTCTCACCGAATGAGCCCCGAAAGTGGCATCCACGCCCGCCAGTGACAAGATCCAGCGTATCCATCTAGCGAGAGTGGTAGAGGAAACTGGATTGTAGGGTTTCATGTAGGAAATCAGTAGTTGACCGGGGGGAGTCGGGGCGAAGAGAGGCGGTAGCTGTCACGTAGCTGCGTATGGTTGCTACTACGCATAATTGGGGTTCCGTGATGAAGAAGGGGTAAAAAATGGCGGTGGAGTTCAATTTGGTCCGTCGGGAGACATGGAAGGTAACCCCTTCAGGATCTATCGAAAAGGTGTTGACTTCGAAGGCCTTAACGTCGGATACCCGACGAAAGGAAACTAAGCAAAGTAACATCGTCATTTTTGCAGAAAGTTGGCGAAGCGAGAGTCTGTCGTTAGGCGGCCATTCTCTTAAGAAGGTGAGGACGAGGTCCACATCCCATAGGTGGGTGTATTTGGGGGCCGGAGGCCGTTTTAGTCGCATGCCCCTCAGTAGTCGACATACCATAGGATCCTTACCCGCCGGAATCCTTTGGATAGGTGTATGTGCTTCTGATATCGCTGAACGAACTACGTTAATAGTTCTATAAGATTTTCCTGTTGCGAACAGTGACAACAGGATGGTTGGAATAGGTGCCGTAAGAGGATCGAGGTCCCTTTCCAGGCACCAAGCGGACCAGGATGTCCAAGCAGAGAGGTAGCATAATCTCGTCCCCGGTGCCCATGAATCCCATAAGAGGTCCCTAGCAGTCTGAAATAGTTCACTGACTTGCCAGGTTCCCCGGAAAGAGTCCAAGCCACCAGGGAGAGTCTCTCTTCCAGTATTAGCGGGTGAGGGTTCCCCTTCGGATCCGTAAGGAGTGCCGGATGGGACGGCAGTAAGAGCGGGCCTGCGTAAGACAGTGCTAGAAGGTCCGGGAACCACGGTTGACTCTGCCATAGGGGGGTAATCAGGAGCAGAGAAATCTGGTGTACCTTCAGATAGTGGAGAGTCCTCGCTATCATAGCGAATGGGGGAAATGCGTAGGCGCCGAAGGACGGCCAGGCCTGTAGGAAAGCATCCATTGCTTTGCATTCTGGATCTGGGAGCCAACTGAAGAAGTCTGGTGTTTGTCTGTTGTTGCGGGATGCAAAGAGGTCCAGATGGAAGGGTCCTCTCATTTGCGTGAGGGCATTGAATGTCTCTCGGTCCAGCATCCAATCACTGCTGTCTCTCCAATGGCGAGAGAACCAGTCAGCTGTGAGGTTCGACTCCCCTGGGAGATATTCCGCCTTGAGGGAGATGTTGCGTGGAAGGCAGAAGTCGAACACCTCTTTCGTGAGTTCGGATAGGAGTCATGAGCGAGCGCCGCCTAGGCGGTTGATATATCGGACGGCCAAGATGTTATCCATCCTGAGGAGAATGCAACAATCTGATTTGTCCCTTGCCAGGCTGCGTATGACGTAGGAGCCCGCCAGTAGTTCAAGACAGTTGATATGCAGGTTGAGTTCCTGTGAAGTCCATGCTCCTCCTGTCGATACTCCCTCGCTCGTGGCGCCCCAGCCCCAAAGGCTGGCTTCCGATTCCAGTACGAAATCTGGGGTTTCGCCGACTATCGCTCGGCCGTTCCAGGCCTGCATGCTGTCCAGCCACCACTGTAGTTCCTCCTTGACCTCTGCCGTAATCGGTACTGGTTGGTCGTAGGTGGGATTTCGGCGGAGGAAGGGTGCCTTGAGGTGTTGCATCGCCCTGTAGTGGAGTGGACCCGGGAAGATGGCTTGGATGGATGCCGATAGGAGACCCACGATCCGTGCTAGGTTGTGTAGGGAAACCGATTGACATCTGATCGTCTTGCGGATTTCCTTCCGAATAGCCGCGATCTTGGCTGTTGGCAGGCGGAGCATGCTGGAGACTGAGTCGATTTCGAATCCCAGGAATTGTATGGTTTGGGACGGAGTTGCAGCCGATTTCAGTTGGTTTATCGTAAACCCTAGGGATTCTAGGAGTTCCATGGCAAAACGTGTGTGTAGTCGTGACTTGTGTGTGTAGTCGTGACTAGTCGTGACTTGACGGAGAAGAAGATTAGAAGGTCGTCCAGCAGGGCCGGACTGGGAATTAAAAGCAGCCCTGGAAAAAAAATATTTACCAGCCCCATAATGCATCGCGCCAGCATAGTGTGCAGATACAGAGTTAGAACAGATAACTTAAAATTAAAAAGTACTTCAACGTAAAAAGCGCACTCATAGGCTTCAAAATAAACAAAAGTGCAGATTTATTTTAAGCAGACGTGCCTTTGCATGTAATCAATGTTTCAGTCCAACTACCTTGACATATTAAGGAAAGCTTGTTAATGGGACTGAAATGGTGAATGTATGTAGGGCACAACTGAAAAATGTTTTATTTTGAAGTCCTGTGGGTGTGCTCTTCACTTTAAATATGTTATTGTGCTGGAGTATGCACCTAGCAACAAGACTGGGCCAATATCTGCTCATTACATATGGTACATATTAATGAAATTTCTCTGTGTATTATGCATTTATAAATGTACATTAATATGTGTAAATATAATAGAGATATAAAACTAATACACACATTAATATACATGTCATATACTAATGGCGGATCCAGAGCCTGAGCCTGAGAGGGGCACTTGTAGATTATTTAAAGAAATATTCCATGCACAATAACCACTACTCCTCTGTGTAGTGGTTATGGTGCCAGGAGCGTCGGCACCCCCTCCCAGAGTAAGTCGTCAAACCGTTTAAGAACAGTTTGACAACTTACCTGGAGTCTGCTGGGATATGGGGCTGTAGTAGGGTATAGGAGCAGTGGTGCAATGTGTGTGAAAGGTTCAGTGTGTGGGTGGGCAGTGTGTAAATGTGTATGGTGTGTGTGTGTGTGTGGGGGGCAGTGTGTGAATGTGTATGGTATGTGTGTGTGGGGCAGTGTGTGTATGGGGCTAGAGTTCACTCCTACTACTGGGACCACCAGGAAGTGGTGAGAGTGAACTCTAGCCCGTAGCTCCAGGGCTAGAGTTCACCCTCGTGAGAGCCGGAGCGTTGCCCCAGGTCCTCTCTTCCTCCCCTGCCAACTGGCTGCACGGTGCCTGTGGAACGGGGAGGGAGATCGGCCAGCAGGGGAAAGCTTTGGGGGCTTTGTGATATATACTGCCCCTATGTGTGTCTCTTTATCGCCAGCCCCTCTGTGTGCCTTTTTGTCTCCCCCAGTCACTCTGTATGTTTCTTTCTCCCCCTCACTGCTCCTCTGTGTCAATGTCTCCCCTCTCCTTCCCAGTCTCTCTCTTCCCCCTCTGCCTCTT